AAAGCTACAATGCAGTTATTAAATGATGGAATTTGTCAAACTATTATGTGACTTAAGTGCCCATGAACAAGGCACTGCATTTCCACCCTTTGTAGGGATGCAGCTGTGTGTGTGTGTGTGTGTGTGTGTGCGTGCGCTCATGCTTGCATACGTCGTTGTTGGAGTCCTCCAGAACCCCTGTGTCTCTAACTTTGTCAAACTGTATTGTAACTGACAGCTACCATTGTCTGTTGCATGCAGAAAATGTTTTATGACCTTGTGAACAAGCTAAAACATTTATGCAGCGCACTTGTAAAATCCACAGTCTGTGTTTTGAAAACGCAAGATTCCAAATGCAAATAAGTATCCAAATCCACAGAGGCTGCAGACAGAAATGTATGGCTGTCCAGATTCCTTGCCTTGCAAATCAAGTAATACAAGAATTTGATGACAATTAAACAGAAAATCACAACCTCAAATTTTTTTATGTGCTTTTTTTTTTGCACATTTTACAGTTTATATTGGTGTTGTAGTATACAGAAAGAAATTAATTGTTGTATGAATTGTTGTTTTTTTGGCCAGTGTCATGGAGCTCTAGTGTGTGTTCGTGTGGGTGTGTCTGTTTTTGAAGAAAGGGAGGGTGGATTAACCGGTGCAGGATCTGTCATGGTGACATTTGTGTCCCCTGGCGGAGCAGCAGGGGTCCTCTTCACCTCTGTAACCTTCAACTTTCAGCCTTAACCCTCTTCAGGCCCCCTCTTGCGTCCACCACACGCCCAGCACGTCCGAAGGGAGGGGTATATGAACGCAAGAGAGTGGGGGGGAAAAAAATAGAGAGGGGGGTTGCAGAAATGAAGAGGACAGAGACCTGCAGGGAAGGGCGGGATGAAGAGAAAGAAAGGTTGTGAAAGAAATAAAAAAAAAAATGAGGCAAGCATGGGAAACGGGGAGAGGCGAGAAGAAGAACTGGAAATGAGGAAAAAAATTGGGGGGGTGAATTGAGAGGAATATGTAAAAGAAAAGAGAAGCAAGAGGCAAAATGATTGGCAGAGAAATGTGGAGCAGAACAGAGAGAATACGAGCCTGTAGGATAGACAGGAAAGTGCACACAGGATGCAGAGGAAAGGGGAGATATGAACGATAATGGAAGGTGTTTGGTAGTTTTCTGAAGTTCTCACATGTCCTCAGCTACACAAGAAAAGTATTTCTGTGTGTTGTTACAGCTCACTGTTTTCTGCCGCCTGTGCTCTCTTTATTCGTGCCTCTCTTGCGCTACACCATTGTGACTCCATACTTTATCGAACATATGCACATATGAAATGTTTGTTGGGAAGGAGTGCCGTTCATTTCGAGTTAATTTGGTCATGTAACATTATCTGAAATCAGTCTACTCTTGGAGCTTTAATCTCCATTTATCTATCCACACTTTTGACAGTTTGACTTTAAAGCTATCTCAGACAAAACTGAAGTTATGCTGTTATTTAGTTTTGTCAAAAACCTCAAAGTTCTCATTTTATAGCACTATGAAACACAGTATAGCAGCAAATCCTCAGTTTAACCAGCCAATGTTGATGAACAACTTTTGGGATGACTTATTATAAGATTGTCATATATTATTTGTTATTTTTTCAACTGATAAATGTATCAACTAATCATGTTGGCACCATATTAAGCTCCCAACCTTCCTTCCAGTTTCACCAGCCTTTATTTTATTTATTTCTTAGCTTATACATTAAGCTATTTATCATACTGAGGGGATTTTAAAAGCTAGTATTCGTTGCCACAAGAGATAAATTAAAGGCTACAGAAAGTAATGATGGCAATTACAGGTAGCATACAGCTACATACCACATTTTCTAGTGTGAGTTGATTAGAGTCTGTTTTTAGACCTTTTCACACCAGACATTTTGGCTTTTCATAACAGGTGTAATTGAATACATTAAAAATGACTGCTTTCCATTTAAGTGACCCAGTTCCAGGGTCCTCGTGTTGTACATGCTGTCTCACTGGCGTCGCTTAATGGGACACTTAATGGAATTAAACCATTGTTAATGAAATTTGTTCCACCCATGCTTTTCCTGCATGACAAGTCAAAGTGTTTGCTATGAAATAGGTCTATTAGCACATACTTACGTGTTGCAGCCGATGTCAGACCTGTATCTCGAATTCAGTTATACTCCTGCTTCATAACTATGCTCACCTGCCCAATCACTGCAGAATGTAGGTAGGGCTGACAAAAGTTGCAAACATTAGACCCCCTATGCTCTTCTCTTCCGTAACTCCTGTCCCTTTTCCTCTGACCTGTATCACACTCCAGCAGCAGTTCCCATCCGCTCACCCAGTAAATCAGCATAAAATAGCCCTAACTGTGGCAGATCAGAGGGTAGGGAAAAGGGAGGGGGGCTATTGGACTTGAAGTGTAGAGCTTTGAGCTCTACTGCTTTTTTTTCCTGTGCCGCTCTTTTCAAGATGGGGCCCATGAAATTATCCAACAGGATTATGTAAGGCATGAGGGATTCTGCTGCGTCCTGTCATCCGTTTGTCCATTGTATGCCTCTCTCTCTCAAGCAGCCTGGTGTGTTAGCCATGAAGCTACTCTACACATTGTGTGTTGTCACATGTCCTCTTTACTAAAGAAGGGGTCCTCTCCTCTTAATCTATTTGGGCATATGTGTAGGACAGGATCATACCCAAAGCCCTTGTTAAAACGAACATACATCTTTCAGTTCAGACACTTCACCATCCTCATAGTTTAGACCCATTCACTTTCTCTCAGCCAGCTTTGTTGAGGCAGAGGTGGGGGTATGTTCATGAGCCTGTAGGCCTTTTGTATGTTCATGACAGCGAACCTGGCATGTGAGAGCTCATCTCTTCAAACTCTTGCTGTTGCTGGCGAGGTCACAGGGTGACCTTGGAGCAGTGGAAGCCATGTTTACCAGAGACCCCTGTGTTCAGGCTATGGCTGCTTCCTTTCAGCCACATGGTATAAGCCTGCGAGGCTCATGTTTTAGTTTGGAAACTAGCTTAGAGAGATGCAAACATTATAAGAAACGTTACAAGAGTGATGCTACTGCAAGAGTAGGCTGGCAGCTTATTAAGGGAAATTAAATTGTTATTTTGTGTAGTTTGGTACACTTGTCCTGTGTGAATTAGCCAACCCTCTTGGTCATTCCAGCCAAGCAATCTATCCACCATAACACTACAAACTGACTCCTCAACCATCACTCCAACTAAGGTGGTGAGAAACTTGAGTGTCATGATTGATGACCAGCTGTCCTTTTCAGACCATGTTGCTGCTGTCTCTCGGTCGTGCCGCTTTGCTCTATACAACATAAGGAAAATCAGGCCCTACCTCACTCAGTATGCCCCCCAGCTTCTGGTACAGGCCATGGTTATCTCTCGCCTCGACTATTGCAATGCCCTCCTAGCAGGTCTTCCAGCTTGTGCAGTGAAACCCTTACAAATGGTTCAGAACGCAGCAGCACGTCTGGTTTTTGATCAGCCCAAAAAGACTCTTGTCACTGCTTTACTCAGTGACCTCCACTGGGTCCCCGTGGCCTCCAGAATCAAATTCAAGTCATTAATGCTTGCACACAGAGTGACTACTGGGTCTGCACCCATCTACCTAAACTCCATAATACAAACTTACGTTCCTTCTCGGCCGCTACGCTCCTCCTATGAATGCCGCCTGGCTCTGCCATCCCTTCACACAAAGCAATCCAGTCCTGGCTGTTCTCATCTGTGACACCACGATGGTGGATTGAGCTACCACACGCCATCAGAGCAGGGGCGTCCCTCTCTAACTTCAAGAAGCTCTTGAAAACTCATCTCTTCCGAAAACACTTCCTCTTATAACACCTCTAACTCCTAAACTCTAACATGCACGTCCTGTGCTCTTCTTCTTCTATCCCCTACAATGATCTTGTATTGATTGCATTTTTTTTTGTTTTTGATTGCACTTTTTGTTAACTTTCTTCCTTCCCTAGGTATTTACCCCATTGAGGTGATATGTACTATGAGCTCTTTCTAGTACTTATTGCTGCTCTTACTAGTATGTATTGTCAGTTGATCTGTATTTGATGCTCTGTTGATGCTTGTATGTTGTTCCTCAAATGTAAGTCACTTTGGATAAAAGCGTCTGCCAAATGAGTAAATGTAACCCTATCTTTGCTGAACAATGGCCATCTTCTCTCCTATAATATCAGAATATCAGGGAACAATGCTGATGTATCTGATGTACTTTGTCTTTTATTATTTATATTTAAAATTGGTAACATGTCGTAAATTCTGAACATCTTTGAAGCATACTCTTTAAACAAGAATGACCGTTCAAGGTTGTCTAGGACTGCAACTAATTATTATTTTACTTCTTCTATTTGATTAATCAACTAGTATGCCGTCTATAAAATGTCAGAAAGAATGTGAAATGCCCATCACAGCTTTATCTTAAGATTACTTATTTAGTCTTATCAGCTAATTATCTGTATTTATTCTCAGCAACTGACTTAATTGATTGTCAATTAATTTCCTGTTGAAAAATCGATCGACTTATGATATTTCCAGAAAAAAAAAACATTACAAACTCCTGTTATAACGATAAACATTTATAGCTTAGGTTTTACATCTCTCCAGCAAACAGCTAGGCTTGTATCAATGTAGGAATAATTAAGCAAATAAACTAGAGTATGTGTTGATATGACTTTCTTAAACGTGCATGATTTGGTGTATAATATAAGCTATCATATCTACACTGAGAATATAGATTTGCATATTTACAGCACATGAAGCCTAGACACACTCTCTCTTGTCTTTCACTGTGCGCTGCTTTGTGTGTGTGTGTGTGTGTGTGTGTGTGTGTGTATGTAAGTGTGTGTGTGTGTGTGTGTGTGTGCGCGCACTTGCTCAAACTTGCAGCACCCTTGCCCCCACCCCTCTCATTAATATGTATGTGTTCTGAGGCAGCTAGCGAAGACGGTGTGTTTCTCACCCACTGATTAATGCTGTCTGTCAATTACCTCTAGATCCAGCCGTGCTGTGGAGCTTCCCCCAGGACCACACAGACCAGGTTGGAACAGAGACTGTTTTTTTTTTTTTCTCTCTCTCTCTCTCTCTCTCTCTCTCTCTCTCTCTCTCTCTCTCTCTCTCACTCTGTTACAGACAACCTCTACCTCCTCCTCCTCTCCCATCTCCCTTCCTTACTTACCTAATGCCCTCACTCACCCTGCCATCCTGTGGTAACCTCCCCCAACACCTATCACCACCACCACCACCACCGCTCTCCTCCTCATCCCTATCACTGCTTCCTCTCCTGCTCTCTCCCTCTTTCCCTCCCTCCTCCTCGTCTTCTCTGTCTCTCCCTGTCTCATTCTACGTCTGTTGCTGGTAATGAAAAGCAGTGAGCAGGTCTTCAATAACCGACGAATCAGTAATTATCATGCAACCGTGACAGGAATGCACACCTCTGTTTTCCGCTTTCTCTCTCTCTGTTTATATCTCTTGCTTTCTCTCTCATTGTGCTTCTACGTCTGCTTCCCATTGTTTCACATTTATACCATTATTGGGTTTATTTTCAATCTGAAAATAAAACCTGCAGCTGTTTTGCAATACTTTTTGGCACATCATGTTCTTCTGAAACCACAGGCAAGTATAGCAGCTCAGTCTCTGCAACTAGTCTGTATTGTTGAAGAATTTAAAGGAGGATTCCAATATATCACACTTTGGGTTTATATTTATTTTTATCTTCTCTTATCATTTCTAGTGATTATAATAACGTTATACTCATCAAAGAAGTAGCTCAGATCTGAGAACATGGAAACATTCCTGCAATAAAATCAGACAGGGCAGAAAACAGGAGTAGGCTGACGATCACAGATTAAAACAAGGCAGATAACCACTTTATTTGGAGATAAAACTGAAAGTAAGTCTACCCAAAATGGCCACTGTATTCCCCACTGTATTCCCTTATTGTGTGTGTGTTCACAACTAGGGCGAGTTCAGTAGGTCAAAAGTTTAACCAGGAAAGCCGTCTATAACCTGCAATGGACGTTTGCAACGTACAGTTTGGGTAATATTTTACGACTCGCCTTTAGATCTCAGGGGATGCACAGATTTGATTTGGCAGGTTGATATCAAGGTCAATACTGACCTTATCAAGCAGATCAGGTATCAACCATGAAACACCGATCCATGTTAAATACAGTTTCTTTGTAAGTTTTCCTGCTTGCAGTCACGGTGGGCTGCCAACTCACTTTTTAGCACCAAAGCCTCATGTTATCTTACATAAAAATGATTCCATTAGATTCCACACATTGAGGTATACAGATTTTAAATTTGGGAAATATAGAGCACCGCTATTGGTTCAGTACCTAGTGTTGGTTGATAACCTGAGTACAAAAAATTAGTACCAGGAAATAAAAAGTTAGATCTGTGCAGTTTGGCTAGTTTAACCAGTCTGTTGTCTCAATGCTTATTGAATGTTTACTGCCCCATCTGACTTCTGTTCAGAGATGTCATTGCATGCATTTAACTTTTTGTTACGGATGGCCAAAAATACGGAAAAAGACCCAGGTTGTGATAAAGCAATTTATCCTTTAAGCCAATCACAAATTTTCTCAGGAGGACAACTTGTACACACATATGTAAAAATTAAATTGATTTGAACATCTCTTTTTATTTAAAAGCCTTTGAAATATCCACAACTTATTTCTTTCTGGCTTCACCTTTAAATAACAGTCTACATCCAACTCTTTTGTGCTCATCACTCTGTAACTACATTAGGTTGAATCATTCTCCTGTTGTTGCTCCAACATGTAAAGACTCCATGACTCCTACTCTCTGCTGCTGTGAGGTTGTGCATGTGTGTGTGATTTTTGTACTGACAGTTAGAGTAAGAATGACAAAAGACAGATATTTGACAGGAACAAAAACAAGACAGGCAAAATATTGTTTCTGTTCCGAAAGTGGCCACAGCACAAAACAGGTCCTGGAGAAAATCATTGGACAGGTCCCTGCAGCAGCCCATCAGTGGATGGAGAGGAAAAATGGACAACTTAAAAAAAAAAAGAAAGCAAGAGAGAAAGACTACAATATGTGCGTAGGCTAACTATCTCACAACTCAGCAGCCCAGCCTGTGAGTTTAAACAGCTCTCTTGCCTCTCTGATCCACTTTGAGGAATAAACGGGCTTGTAGAAAGATGCTTCAGGCGATGTCTGCCTGCCCCACAAGAACCAGAGCGTGCTATCAGAGTAAGAGGTAGAGGGAGTGAGGGAATGAAAGTGTGAGCATGAAATTACAGACTTACAGAGGCAGGCACAGGAAATGGAAGAGATGGAAAAGGAGTACAAAGAGCAGCTGAATCCATGAGAGATGAAATAAAAAAATAAATAAAAAAAAGAATGTAGTGTAAACATAGTGTATGTGTTGACATGAGCCTTGCTCATCATCTCCAACATGTCTCTATTTTTAGCCCCCCCCCCGACACACACACACACCACACAACCTTACTTTTCTTTCATTCTGCTGTCAACCAGATCGTTTGTGTGGATAAGATGGCCCTTAAGATGGCTAGTTAGCGTGCTGTGTACAGAGGGATTGGTCCTTTCCCCCGTATACATAAAGGCTGTATTCAGGGGTCTCATTACCAGGATTAGGGCTCCTTTCCTCCTTTGTGGGGCTGAAGGCTGGAGTCCTCTGTAGCCACAGTCTCTATCTCTTTCTGTGGCCCGAGCTGGCCAGCATATGGCAGCAGCAGCCAACAGTCTCCACAGAGGGGCTCAGAGCTCAGAGCAAGGCCTCCTTTTGTTTAGGCCGTTATTGTTGCTTAGCGTAATGACATTTGTAGGCCGTAGGATTGGGGTGGAGGGGTTAGTCTACCCCAGGGGAGGGAGGGGGGAGAGGGAAACAGAAAGAGGGAGAAAGAGAGAGGGATGGAAGGGGGGGAGAGGCAAAGACATGTAGACAGACAGGAGTGTGGATTATGGAAATATGAATTGATTTTTTTTTTTTTCTGTGCTGTGGTAGAATAGAAAGCTCAAAGGAGAACAGACTGCAGGCTGGCTGGCATGCTGGGGTGGTGCTGGGGAAATGGGAAGTGAGAGGCGCTTTCTCTCTCTCTCTCCCCTCTCTCTCTCTCTCTCTCTCTCCCTTCTCTCTTTTTCTTTTTCCTTCGAGCTCCCCCTATTCCTCCCATAGCCCCTGAGACTCTTGATGCCCTGGTCATCTGCAGATGCCACTTGGATAAAGAGGGAGAGATGTAGAGATGGAATAGAGAGAGAGGAAGGGCAAGAGAGAGGTGGCTAAAGCATACATTTGAATCGCAAGAAGGGATTTTTTTTATTTTTTTTGCAAATGAAGCAGACAGATGGAAATCTGTCCGTTTCCTCTTAGATCTCATCCCAAACTTGTGGGGAAAAAACAGCAGACACACACACACAGAAAACGGTTCTGCCAGTTAATTCTTGCTAACCACAGTGTGCTGTATAGAAGGCCTTCTCCTCTGTAGAGAACAGAGGATAATATGATAAACACTCAGCAAGTTCCACAAACAGACGGCCATTTGAAATCTTATAGAAACTGTGAGCAACTCCACAGTATTTCTAAATGTTAAGTTCCACAGACACCCTTCTGCTTATTGCTGTACTTCCTTGTCCAACACGACAAAAACATAGTTTTACGGTTGACAGGCTCCAACACTACCATTTTATTTATCATGTGTTTGGTTAGCTTTTATTTTCTAATATATAGGTAGATGTCTTTGTCTTTCTGTTCATTTATACAGTTAGCTTGGCTGTCATGGTGTCATTCCAATGCATTTTGCGCTCACATCTGTGGAATTAAAGGGTTTAACAAAGTATTGAAGTCGAATTTAAATCATAACTCATTTAGTTGAACTGTCAAAATGCAAAATGTATGGAAGGGTCCTGTAGATTTGGCATCACCTGATCTACTCCCATGTTCTACTCAACTTGGCATTTGAACTGATAAGCTGTGATTTTTTATAGGTCGTTATCGGTCCGCTTTTTTTGTCAGATATTCATTGATGCTTTTATTAGTGAAATTAACAATGGGATAATAGGCAAAATAGGGAGTCACTAGTGAACAAAACTCAATAAATTACATAAAACATTGTCCATCTTCCAAGATGGCGCCGCAGACGGCCGCCTCGGGATTACGCTCTGTAGTGCTTTTTGTGTTTTTGTTAATTAACGCTGTTTTCTGCCGTCCATCTCTGGTAACTTTTACCAGAGAAGAGCTCTTAAACATTGGACTTTCTACTGCTCATACTATTCCACCGCTCTTTATTGACCCTGGAACTTTCCCGGAGTTATTAGTTGGAGGAGCAGCAGCTCTGTTTGGGATCCTTCGGAAACGGTGCAGGGGAAAACGAGCAGGCGCGTTGGTTAAGCTGAGACAGCGGGGATTTCGCACTGCGCTCCCTTCAATCCACCTGGCGAATGTCCGCTCTCTGGCCAACAAAATGGACGAACTGCTGCTCCTCAACAGAACCAACTCGGACTTCTGCAGATCTGCTGCCCTCTGTTTCACCGAATCCTGGCTCACCAAGCGCACTTCACCTACTGGGATTTAATCTCATCCGCGCGGATCGCGAAAGGGAGCTCACGGAAAAAACAAGGGGAGGCGGACTCTGTTTCTAAATAAACGAAGGTTGGTGCACAGATGTCATAGTGTTGAAGAAATCGTGCAGCCCTCACTTAGAGACATTATTTATAAACTGTAAACCATTTTATTCACCGTGGGAGTTTTCCTCGTTTGTTCTGGTCGCTGTTTACATTCCACCTCAGGCCTGTGTTAGTGAGGCGTTACTACACCTGGCCGACCAGATAACTAACGTGGAGAAAAAACATCCAGAGTCCCTGCTCATTGTTCTTGGGGACTTTAACAAAGCAAACCTCAGTCATGAACTTCCAAAATACAGACAGCATATTAAGTGTCCCACCAGGGACACTAACACACTGGACCACCGCTACACAACATTAAAGGATGCCTATCGCTCTGTTCCCCATGCAGCCTTGGGACTCTCTGATCACTGTCTGGTTCATCTTATC